GTAATGGCTTTATGTGGAGTAAACAATTCTATTTTAAACATATTGTATTTTTGTTTCATTAAATTGGTCTATAAATATGTTTTTATTATAAATAGTTATTTTTTATTTTAATTTAACAATGACATTTTTTTCAGTCATTTAATTAATTAAATTATACATATACATGTACATAATAATCTGTGATATATTATTATTGTACTGAAACACATTGTTCTATCCAATTAAATATAACAAAGTTATATACACACACACATATATATATATATATATATATATATATATATACATATAATAAATGTACTATATGTATATAAAATTGCAATGTCTCAAAAAAAATCTAAAGCTATATATAAAAAGTTTTTGAAAGATTCTGAATTTGATGTTGACATATGCATTAACAAAGTCTAATAATCGGGCATAACATATATTATATACAATTGCACTATATTAAGAAAAAGCAACATAAATTCAACTTATATACAAGTGAAATTTCTTCAAGCATTTTCGAATGCTACTGCAGTTTTCTCAGTAAAACTTTTATATCTGTTTATCTATCATAAATATAACATTTTTCAACAGGTCAAAAGCCCGTAGATAAATGAACACAAAGCGCCGAGTCTCAATGTCCTCCGATACTGGGCAGCTTCCGGGAAACCAAAGTTTTTGCTGAATGCTTGGTTTCAATTAAATATTTATTTTCTCCCTAAAAATTTTTCAAGAAAATCGATTTTTTGAGCCTCGAAAGCAGGCTCTCCCCTTAAATCATTGATGTGATAATTTTTTGGCAAAATTCTGATGTATTAACACTTTTGCATATATTATGAAAAATATATATATATGATTATTTTTCAGATGGTTTTGGGCATCCGTTCAATAATTAAAAGAATTTAATAAAGAAAATGTTTTAACTCTTAATTTTACTTACCAGTGCATACAAATAATCAAAACAAAAACGCAAAATTGCAAACACGATAATTAATACAACACTTGGTTATAAAACAGGAAAAAATCAAATATTAAAATAAAATAAGGGAAAAGATTTATAAAGGTACTTTCCATCGAAACATGGCAATTGAATTTGATAAAATTTAATTTATTTTATCAGAATCATTCATTTGGTACTGTAAACATTCATATCCCAACTGTGATTCAAAAACATTATTTTTGAAAATATTTGAATTTACCGCTTTTTGTATTTTAGATATTACCACTTCGATTATCTATGCTTCGATCTATTGTTCGTTTGGATAGGCGGGAATGCGCGTTATTTATACCGCCATTTTATATTACAACCAATAGCGCATTAGCCTTTCATACTTGTGGCCAATCGGTGTTCTTACATCTCACTTCGTCATATTACTTACTTCAAGTCAAGCGTCATCGCCGTTCGTACCCAAAACCCAAACAAGACTTATTGTGTTCATTTGTGTTGTTTAGTGCTGCATTTGAGGTCCTCAATACTGTGAGTAGTTTTATAATATACGTGTTATAACTGTTGTTTTAATATTTTCGGTTTTTGCTATTATAATATTTTTATTAAATTGAACTGAATTGCATTCATATATTTGATACCGTGGGTGATTTTGTGAATAAAATTACTATTATACTAACTGTTCGCCATTTCTTTCACTGTAAGATTTTAGATGCAAGTAAGGGTAATCGGTTCCATTGATTGATCTGTCTCTAATGTTAATTAGATACATAATGATTCGGTATTTTTCTTTATTTTTATTCTTTTAGTTCAAGATTCATATTTTAATTTAATCGCCAGCTAACATCATTTTACAAATATAGTACAGAGTTTCATCCGCCATCTTGATTTGTCAGATATTTACTTTGTAGGTCATAGTAACAATATTGTTGTTATTGTGAAATCATATGTGAAGTCATATATCATGTATATATAAAGCACTAGGAGAATACGTGTAAATATATACGTAAATATATATACACATCTTTTGCGCGGGTAAACCATACATACTGACATTAACAATTGTAGTGAAATTTTCGGCTGTTCAAAGAATGTTTACCCATATTTAAAAATTAATACAAAACTTCTATAGCTGAATTATTTTAAAATGTGAAATTGTAAATTAAATTTTAGATCTTGAAATAATAAAATGGCTCGTACTAAACAAACTGCCCGTAAGTCGACCGGTGGAAAAGCTCCACGGAAACAATTAGCTACGAAGGCCGCGCGTAAAAGTGCGCCATCCACTGGAGGCGTCAAGAAACCCCATCGTTATCGTCCAGGTAATTTGAAATGATTGAAAATCAATTGGGTTTTTACATTAGTAATTGACAAGTTAATTACATGTGTGGGCACTTTGCAATTTTAAATACAATTAAATTTTAGTTGAAACATGTTTTTAAGTTGATTTTGTTTTATTATTTACAGGTACTGTTGCTCTTCGTGAAATCCGTCGTTATCAGAAATCCACTGAATTGTTGATCCGAAAATTGCCATTCCAACGTTTGGTGAGAGAAATTGCCCAGGATTTCAAGACTGATCTACGTTTCCAGTCAGCTGCTATTGGTGCTCTACAGGTATGTACATGTAATACCAAATGTGTAAAGCAGCATTGTTCAATGATTCATGGTTTGATGATTGATGGTTGATTGCAGGAAGCCAGTGAGGCTTATCTCGTTGGCTTATTTGAAGATACAAATTTGTGCGCCATTCATGCCAAGAGGGTAACAATTATGCCTAAAGATATCCAGTTAGCGCGGCGAATTCGTGGTGAACGTGCTTAAAATTCGGGTTATCAAGAAGCCAGATATCCCACATGCACATCTCGATATTTACCTATTATAAATATACACATATATGTGGAAATCGTGACATTTATGTTTAAGCATTCACTTTTATAACAAATCATCTTTACATCTTAGGACGTAGTCAAAATTTTGTTAATCAATATTTTGCATTTGAATATGAAATTTTAGTTTTAATTATATTTATATTATCATTTTTGTGTATTGTTAATACAATCTTAAACAGCAATTGTGCTAACTTAGTTTTGTTAGCAATTATTTCAAAATTATGTATAAATATAGAGTAGTATATAAAACAAGTTTTTAGTGTACAATTACTTTATCGTACTAATTTTTAAAATAAATGTGAAATAAACAATATGTTTTTTAATTCAAAATGCTTATATTTTAATATGCACCAGTGCAATGTTATACTAAATGCAATTTTTTTACTCAACTCCCCAACCAATTAAATTAAATTTTTAAATTAGAATTAAATTTCAACTTAAAAAAATTTAATTAACTCCACTTTTAAGCCGTTCATTTAAATTTGTTTTTGAAGTGAGAAAAAAGATATTGTCTTAAATTTAAATGTTGTGTTTTAATTTAACTTAATACAAACTGAAATAAAACATTAATTCAACTTCTAATAATTGTTATTGTATATATTAGTATCACATTGACATTCAAAACTAAGTATATGAACTTAACAGTTTAAATTTAATTAATATTATTATCAGTTGTAATAATAACGCCAGGTCTTTCTAATTCTTGTTCCTCAAGTTTAGATATTAGCATGTCTCTCATAAAATCAATGTATTGTTGCTTTTGCTGCGACGAAGCAGGAAAAAAGTGACCACCGGAATGTAAAACTTCAATCCTCTTCTCCTCTTCAAAAACATTTGCTAATTTCTCACTCATTTCTGGAGTTATAATTTTATCATTAGTTCCATATATATGCAAACTCGGTATTGTTAGAATGTCATCATAATAATCTTTGTGAGGTAGGCTGCCTGAACAAAATCCTGCGGCTACGATTGCAAACTTAAAATTAGTTTTCAAGCAACAACGATTTTGTAAATATAATATTAATCCCACGAAGCAGGCACCTTGGGAGAATCCAAGAATTCCATCAAAAGGACCTAATTCTTCATAGGCTTTTTCTATTAGTTGTAAAGATTCTCCGAAACCAATTGCTGGTCCACCCTGTCTATCACCTTTAAATGTTACATCATTTCTATTAAACCACCAACTATATTGATCAGTTTCTACAGACTCTACATCTTCTAATACTCCAAATTCATCCACTACTTTGTGGGGTCCAGTAATATATATAAAATCAGCATATTTTTGCACGATTTTTCTAAAAGATCCTGTTTTTCCTTTGAAAACTGGTCCACTTTGACGATAACCATGCAATGCTAATATTTTCAGTTTTTGTTGTGCCATTTATAGTAGTTTTACTATAAATTGCTCTTTTATTTGGTTTTCTCAACGCAATATGTTCAATTTAATTGAGATGTTTATTAAATAAGTTCTCAGATTTTAATAGAAGACAGAGATTATTATTACATATAATTTAATTAATTTGAAAATATAAAAAGTGGAGTTATATTATATCATAACCTACAAAATATTTGATTTTTATCAATGAACTAGAATGAGAAATGAACAAGATATTTGACAGTGGATTAATGCCATTTAATATTGACGGTAGCAAGCTATATAAAGTAAATTAAGCTAACATTTTAGTCACATACTAAATGGCGCGAGTAGGATAACTGGCCATCGTCTAGATATTATCCTATTATACTGATAATTGGATTTTTGATTAGGATGGTACAGAAAAAAATAATTAATATCATGATTAATTGCGAGAACTTGCAGATTTTGGTGTAAGAAGTGAGATTTAGCAAATCACGATAGAAGTTTGAAAAATTCGCGCGCCCATTATTCAAAATTTTAATGAATTTTTATAATTAAATCACTTTTCCTAGTCCCCTAATCCTATATTTTTTTTGTGATGTTCGTTAATATCGTGAGTTTACTTTGAGAGACATTTTACATTTTCTTGAAGTTCAACATGTGAACTGAACGTGCTTGCACTATCTTAATAGTTTTTTAATATTTACAGTGTACAAGCGTATATTTTATTGGCTGAAAATTCAATCTCAAACATGTAGAAATTGAGCATCAAACATTTTGAGGGACAATACACAGCTGAGATTTCATATTAAGATAATTAATTAATCATTTAATTAAATGATTTCTTAAGTTGTTTACTTCCTCAGCGCCCGCAGCCACTTTGTTCTAGCGATTGTCCAGATTTAGCGTTCATTTTACTTGAGCCTACTTCCTACGTTTCCTTTGTTAATTTATCTCCGTGAGCTCGGATGCTAAAATATGGATGAAATTGTAGAATAGCGAAACGAGCGAAACGGTTAGAATATTTCTTTGAATTGTAAGAATATTTCTTTGAAAATAATATAATTCAAAAACAACAGTTAGTATTTGTAATGATGATCTGAGGAGAAAGAAAAGAAAAATATTTATAATATTTATTTCTATGAAGGACATTCCAATCGTGTATGAAAATAGGCCTAACTACATAGATAAGTAAACATAAACTAACTAATACTAACTACTATGGCTGAAATTATTAACCAACTAATTGAAAATGATCTATATTTCATTATAAAGTTGATACATATCAAATTTTCTATATCCATACATCCTAAACATGTTAAGATAAGTCGCATTTAGTGCTGTTTAGTTTTACGCTATTTTTTAACATTTAAGCATCAATTAAGCGTTAAGCGGGTAGTTTTTACTTATGTTTATTTATCTCTTGGTCCCTAAATAATAAATATGAATTATTGGTTAGATTTTGGTGAAATGTTAAGCTGAAAGCGCCCCTCTTACAACAGTTTCCAATAACTGTCAAAAAAACTTCTAGTTGGCATCACGTCGTCGCTGATGCCAACGTAAGGAAATAAAAATATTGATGACGTCTTGTGTACGTGTAAAAGCCAGCAAAAAAGTTGTATGCGTGTCTTGTGTTTTCAATATATAGAATTGTGGACAACTGTGTTACGTTAAATAGTTTATTTCGCTGAGAAAGGTCTTACTAAATTTATTAATAATGGTAAGATACTAAACGTTCTAAATAATTATTCTTGGTATAAAGTGATAGAAAAAAATCATCTTGTTAAATCTGTGATATTTTAGTGGTTAATAATTGATATCTTGTAAAACCATGATATTCTGGTGATTGATTGTAACAACTTTGAATAGTGATGTATTAAAAATAGTCTTGTTCTATTAGTTCGTTTTTATCTTTTCATCGTACTTTAATTGTTAGAATACGTTGTGTTAATTTTGTTTAAATTTCTGTAACATCAAATATTTTGTTTAAAGGATTGAAATTTATATTATGAACTCATTTAATTTATGCACTATAGGTATATCTTAAAAGAGATCAAATTTTTATGTTACATTCATAGACTATTACATATATAATGAAATAATCATTACATATGTATCTACGAATAAGAACTACTGTGATCTTCAATTATAATTTCAACTAAATAGCTGGCAATAACTTACAGCCTGCTCCAGCAAGTTCAACATCTGTAGGGTCTAGCAGTAGGTCACCCAGCAAAGCAGGTGTTCCTCGAGGTGGATCAGGAGGTACAGTTAAACAAAGAAAAAATGCTCCAGCAACGTCTGCTCGCAACCACAATACTGGCACCTCGTCAGGAGGTATGTGGAGGTTCTATACAGATGATTCCCCAGGAATAAAAGTGTAAGTTGATTGATGTAATGTTGATTCATATTGTGATTTGATTTTTCATTTAAACATTTTTCATTCAACATATTTATTTTGGAATTATAAGAATGTAAATTTATATTGCAGAGGCCCTGTTCCCGTTCTTGTAATGTCTTTGCTGTTCATTGCTTCAGTATTTATGCTACACATTTGGGGGAAATATACAAGATCTTAAATCATTAAATATCATAAAATCTTTTTATACCCTATTTAAACAAGTGAATATTTTACATCTTACGGTATATGTGTGAATGGAGTTATCAGTTTATTCTGAGTATAAAATCTACTGTAAGAACTTTCACAACTGTTTTCATTAGATATTTATTTATAACTTTATAAAACTAAGTAATTTTATAAAACAATGAAAATATAATAATGAGTTTTATTCATCTTGAAATACACAATTAGTTATAAATATTACTTATAATTATTTATGAATGCACTCGACAGATGCATTCATAAATACACACTCACATACAAATATGTATATATATATATATATATATATATATATATATATATATATGTTGGTAAAACAGGCTGATAATAAAAATAAAAAAACTAAATTTTGTTTCTTAAAGTGAATTTATAGATCCATGTGTTTCAAGTCCCAATTCAACTCTTCTTCAGTGGGATTAGAATTAAATATATATATATATATATATTTTGTAGAGTTTCGAACAAGAATCCAAAAATAATACAAAATAAAAAACAAGAAAAGTTTTTAAAAAAACAATTTCTTTATTTAATTATTTGTTTATTGTCGACGTTTCGGAACTAGGTACGTTCCATCTTCAGGACATCTGTCAAGAAACATGATCTTGATGAGATTTTTGCAAACAATATGTTTAGGAAAAGAAAATAGATTTTTCTTAAATAATGAATTAAATTGTAAAAAATATAATAATGTACAGAAATATGATAATATGTTCAAAATAAAAATGATAAAAATAAATGAGTGGATTATCAAAACAGGATATTAAACATAATAGAAAATTTTTTTGAAAGTTATGGAAATTTTTTAAGAAAAGGTTAATGACAAAGTTGAATTAATTACCTGTATGTTTTGAACATATTATCATATTTCTGTACATTATTATATTTTTTACAATTTAATTCATTATTTAAGAAAAATCTATTTTCTTTTCCTAAACATATTGTTTGCAAAAATCTCATCAAGATCATGTTTCTTGACAGATGTCCTGAAGATGGAACGTACCTAGTTCCGAAACGTCGACAATAAACAAATAATTAAATAAAGAAATTGTTTTTTTAAAAACTTTTCTTGTTTTTTATTTTGTATTATTTTTGGATTCTTGTTCGAAACTCTACAAAATATACACAAATCCAAGACTCTACCATTCAATATATATATATATATATATACATATATATATATATATATATATATATATATATATATGTGTGTGTGTGTGTGTGTGTGTGTGAATTTAGTTTTGCTTTACTAAATAAATAACAAATAAAATGTCTAATTCGAATGTGAGACTTCAATTCTTTTTTGCACTATGTTGCACCCCAAATTTTACATTGCAATAGTATTATAGCATGTAATAAAACAATATCACCATAATGGTATTATAATGCAACATGCGATAAAAATACATATGTATTTCTAAATTAAACCACAATATGTACTTATTTTATCCATTTCTATGCTTGATGCGCTTCTCGTTAGACATAGGCTCATCAGCGCCGTATGTTCGTATTGTGAAATATTAGCAATGACAGCAACCACATTCAAATGTCATTAATCTTGTGCCAAAAGTTACATTTGGTGTCGTCCAATTATTTTCAACTTTTATACTAAATGTAACTATGGCACTATCTGGTATAAGTTATAATATCCAACTGTATCCTCTAAAAGAATTAAGTAAAATGAATTATTTGCATTCTATATTTAAGCATAATAAACATCATCAGTAAAGTTTGGAACATGATGTTTAGAATAAACGAAAAGTTTTAAAGCTATTTCAACAAATATAGAAGACCAATACTCGAATACTTTAGCTTACCAAAAAATGTTGTTGAGACATAAATAAATTTGAAAGCGATCCAAACTGTAGATGTATCAGGTTGGTTATCACTCCAACTGAAATATCGACAATAGTTAAATCCCATGGATCTCATTTTCATTGTACAGAGTCTTTACTATAGCAAAACTAAATAAAAAATCTTAAATTATAAGCTGTTATATGTATGAATACTTCAGTCACATTTAACCCCTTTGTTGCGTAACAGTTGAAATTGTTATCTTCATTTAGATTTTTTGGGTTGAAGGGTTATTTTTTGTTTAGTAACTTTCCACTTAAGGTTACCCTTACTTCACTCAATCCTTTTCTAAGTTATCTGTAATTAACTATGAGGTTACAAAAGAAAAATTCATGGATTCACAAATAAATATCTTAAAGCGTTTGTAGAGTATGACTAAATCAAATATCATTCTTAATATTAGTTACTTTAAGATTATACATTAATAGAGAAGAATAGTTATAGAACATAGGAAGTGTAGATTCTGAGGCCAGCCGCCCTCTGGACCCATAACACAGACTTCAACTTATTTCAGAAGATCAACTATGTGTTGACAAGGTTTGCATAAAGATTTTTTTTTATAACCTAGATTTAATCTCCTTTTCTGTATGATTCTATATAATTAAAGTATTAATTTATAAATATATATATATATATACTTTTACAATACTTAAATAATATTTTCATTCCTTATAGACAAACATGTTGATCATATGTTTCATATTATGGCTGTTCAAAAAATTATTTTCATCTAGCTATCTTACCTCGCATGGTAATGAGTATGCAAAATTGCTTACTATTGATCACTGATGTCGAAATGATGTTAATTAATTTGAAGATGGAATATTAAAAAGAACTGATTTGATTTTTACCATCCAGTACACATCTGCAATATTGATGTCTTTAGAGTTTATTGAGTTGAGATCTAATACAAGTATTTATTAGATTATTTGTGGTAATAAGAGTTTTTATTTTAGTATTATAGAATTTGAGTTGTCATTAATTAATTTTATTCTTTTAGCTACTAGCAATTATAATTTGATGTCATTTTTTTATGTTTATGCTTCTCTTTTCTTTAGCAATGTTATAAAATTTTATAGCATATTTTTACTTTAACTAAAAATTGAAGTAACTTGCTCTAATATACAAATAGCATATGCATTAGGCTGAAAGTAACCACGTAAAAATACTACAAGAGTTAAAAAAAATTAAAGCTTTATTTATTCATAAGATACGATTCACATCGAGTCTGTTATTGATGAAGTTCTACTGCACTTGTTGTTAAAACTAATCTATTAATAACTTAAGCCTATAATTGAATAAACATGAATTTACAAAATATAAAAATGTGCATATGTAGTCAACATAAACTTATAATAATAATAAATAGTAGTCTGCACAAAGGCAGGTCCATAAAATCAATGATTTTCTTCCCTTCCCTTGTTTATTATTCCCTTTATCATCTTATTACTATTAATTAATGACCATTGATAATTTTATAATCGTTTTTATGCATTTTTCTTTCCAAACTTGTGTTTCCATGCATCCTGGTACTGTGTTTCGGCTTTCAGTTCTCTGTATTTCCTCTTCTCATGTAAGTCATCAACCATCTGCACTATATATATAATTACAGGTTGCGGTCCAAGGGTACTCAGCGCCCGCATACTATTTGTTCATTGGAGCCCCCTTTCCTATTTTTTTTAACTGTTTCCACAGTCATTGAAATTATATGAAAAACTACGTGTAATGGCGCCCCCCCTCGCCGTTCCGCCTGCATTTTTCGCATGCATTGTATTCAGGTATATAGATATATATACAATTTTATTAATAGTTCTTACAATTTGATTATTCTTCTTGTTTTTTTTTTTTTCAGACTTAATTCTTGATTGTGTGTGGACAAGATAATATGAACAAGAAGCAAGATTTTGATTGAGGTAGATAGAGATGGTACTTTACATAGATCTAGTGATGAAATTTACAATACTTTGGAACATATATTAGACAATTATTAATCAGAAGGTAATAAAGCATAAGCTTCTCGAGATACTTATTATTTATTTATTTATCCTTCACCAAGAACTTCAGCAAGATCTTTAAGACATGAACACTTAATGAAGATTTCAGGTGAAAGTGCATATTTATAATTAAATTAAAATTTAAAAATACACAATGAATAATCATAATTTATAAATAATAAATCATAGTTTATTAAATTATTCATTGTGTATTTTAAGATCAGTAAAATATTGATAAGGTGATAAGAAAAGTAAAATGTTAAACATATAAATAAATTTAATAAAAATAATCACCAAACAATAATATCAACTAATATAAGTAGTGTGCATGAATTTTAATAATTACACTAACTAGTGTATATGAATATTGAATTTCAATATTTTATATTCTCATTTAATGTTATTATATATATATATATATATATATATATATATATATAATAATAATAACATTTAACAATATATATATATATATATATATATATATATATATATATATTTGATTGTTATGAATAATTGAAATAGAAAAAGTTGATCAGAATGTAACACATATTAAGAATACATAATTTACCTTTAAAAACCTGTTGACTTACATTTTTCCTGAAGTGCAATTGTATGCACACAGCCATGTAAGGTAGAAGATAACATTCTAGATCCTCCCCCCACGAAGTAATTGCGATTTCCATGGGGACCAGAGGCAAGGCAAAGCGGAGGTTTTAGTCGGTTATACCCAGGCAATATTGAGTCCGACACACCCAGATAAAAGACCAGTCTGGGATGCGTAAATGCATTTCCTTCGCTATACAAAAAAAACATGTAAGGTATTGCTAACATTCAAACAATATAGCTGACTTTTAATGTAAATTATTAAGTTTTTTCTTTATAAAAAATAAACGAGTTTATTTTTATTTTCATCCGGTATGTACTGGTTACATATTAAACTGTAAATATATAGTCACCATTTGTTACTCTTCTTGGCTTATAATTATGGTTGCATTGGGTGTGGTAGAAACGTAGCTTATTAAAATAACTTTTAATAAATTCTTAGGTATCATAATAATCATTATTGCACCTGTATATAATTTTTAGATCTTATATAATATTAAAATTGTTATACTTACGAATTTAAACATATCCCTTTAAAACTTATAATTGAATGTAAATATAAATGAAATAAAGTTTTGCCAGTGGAATTTGGTTTAATTCATTTTTCATTGTAAATGAATAGAATTATTTTAATTGTGGCAATGTTTACAATTGGTTATAATAATAATATAACGATACTATTCAAGAACGGGCCGTGGAATTTTTGAATAGATGTAGATATATAATAATTCGGCCCTGCATTTAAGTTAGCTAGTGTGTGTTCGCAGTATGTTTTCGAGTTGAGACAATATACGTGCTAGATGGGCGGAGCCATGCGCTGTGGTAATTTTCTAGAAGCCGCTCAGTCGGCCAACGCCGCTTACAGAGTGAACATCTGCAAAGGAATAGTATATGTTATGTAGTGAGTGGAGTGAATAAATAAAAGTGCATAAATGTGAATAATACACGTTACCCAATATAAACTAAAGTGATACGTATGGTATTATAACCATGTGCAAAGTTAATTGGAAAGTGGCGAACTTGAATCGGAGAGTGATGTGTTCCATAGGACTGTTTTAGTATAGCATATAAAAAATGTGTCTATTGAGGTGGTGTGTAAATTCAATTTTTGCCACGTAGTGAAGTGAAAAGCGTAATATTTCCTAATGAAGAGTTCGGAGCAAGATGGTTAGAGAGACTCGGCACCTTTGGGTCGGAAATTTACCCGATAATATACGCGAGGACCGAATACGAGAGCATTTTAAACGGTAAATTATTCAACGTGTCGTTGTTGTTAAGTGTTAATAGTTTGGTATTTGTGATTAAGTATGTGTATTGTTTTTCCATCGGAGGATGCGATATCTAGTTCTTCAATTTTCTAAATGTGTTCTAAGTTTGCGTGCTTATATGGAATTGTGTTATGTGCTCTTCGGGGCTAGTTCTGTTCCGCGTAGATGTTTGGATACGTTCACCCGCAATTGAAAGGCTCGACCAAGGGAAAATGTTAAATAAGTGCCTTTTCCTATTGTGCGAATCGACAGTGTGACCTGACCAGTAGGGAATATTATGTGCTTGTATTTTTCATTTCACAGCTTCACTACTCGCCGAACCTCTCGAGGATTTTGTGAGTTCATTCCAATTTTAACACTTTGCCAAACAAACATTTTCCTTATTATTTTCCAGACACGAGCATTTTAGAGTTCACAGACCATAAAAGATATTTATTCTGTATGTTTCCATACTAGGCAGTTCTAATTGTGCAGTATTTAGAAAATAAATAGGAAAAATTGAACTTTTTTTAAATAATTTAACGAAAATTGGTTAAAAAATGTTTAAACATGATTTATCTATTTGCTTTGTGATTATTGTGTAATTTTTTTAGAACTGCAATACGACCAAGGGAAAATGTTAAATAAGTGCCTTTTCCTATTGTGCGAATCGACAGTGTGACCTGACCAGTAGGGAATATTATGTGCTTGTATTTTTCATTTCACAGCTTCACTACTCGCCGACCTCTCGAGGATTTTGTGAGTTCATTCCAATTTTAACACTTTGCCAAACAAACATTTTTCCTTATTATTTTCCAGACACGAGCATTTTAGAGTTCACAGACCATAAAAGATATTTATTCTGTATGTTTCCATACTAGGCAGTTCTAATTGTGCAGTATTTAGAAAATAAATAGGAAAATTGAACTTTTTTTAAATAATTTAACGAAAATGGTTAAAAAAATGTTTAAACATGATTTATCTATTTGCTTTGTGATTATTGTGTAATTTTTTTAGAACTGCAATATTAGTAACGAATCGTTCAGAATCGATATCTTATTTATTATTACTTTGTTTTTCGAATTATTGACTGCTAATATTTCGAGTATATATATTTACAGAGTCTATTATCGGGCATAATATCAATAATTTTATTAATTTATTGATTGATAGTTATAGCCGATTATTAGTCACTGGTAATACATATGCCAATATCATTATCTATAAATTTCTATATAATATGTATGTCATATAATCATTATATTATTTATTCTGAATTTAGTCTTATTTTTTCAATAAATGTTCATTAATATTTTATCTTCATTCTACGTTTCTGGGGTATTCTCTGACTCGGGAACTATTAAAAACGACCTATAATTTTTTATACGATTATGCACTTCTTAACTATAGAAAAATTTAAAAAGTCGTTCGCCTATGAAACTGCAAATAAAGTCAGTCGTTCGTTAAATGTTAAATTTACATTTACTATGAATTGTATTTGAAGATACGTTGTGCTATAGATGTTTACATTTGGGAATATGACGACTAAAATTATCGTTGCAAGTCTCACGGTCACTCGTCGGTCTAGTTAAGCTTAATAAACCCAGAAAGGAGATTGTTTGCAGAATCAATTTTTATAAAAAGTACCAAAAAGCAATAAATTTTAGAACAGACACACAAACTTCACATGGTTTGTACAATTTTATTGAGCAAGCGAACAATAATCCACAAGCAGAAGATTACAGATGGTTCACAGACAGGCGTAAAATTACAAATGGTACACATAAACGAAGAATCTGTTAAGAAAATGAATTCATAATTTTAGTTTTCATACATAATCGCAAACGTTTCATAAATCTATAGCTCGGCGTGTTACGTACGTAAAAAATATTTTCTTTTAATTTTGCAATAAATTTAAAAAACTGTATACTTGTATGAAAAATTATTTTGTGTGTATTTAATCGTTACTCAGGAGGTCACTATCTTCAAAACGTAGAATAAAATAAATGAAAAATGAAATAAATAATTTATAGAGGAAAAACTAGGAATTTAGTTTACGAAATTGAAATCATAAATAATAATAACCATCTAGAAAAACACTGTATGTATATATATTAGGGTGGTCCTTAATATGGTCATTTTCGAATTTCCTTGCTCTTAGGGTCTCAAATGCTTCTAAATTGTTAAAAGAATCCTCTATAAGTTTTAGATCTTATTATTGTCTTTTAGATAGTGCGCAATTCATAGTTTTGTATGGAAATAGCATGGGAAAATTTTCAAAAATTTAAAAAATGTTTTTAGATATAACTTAGCGAACAAATGAATGAGTTTTATTCAAAATTCGACGCTCTACAAAACATTATAAAAAACCTGTTTTGCAGAGCGTCGAATTTTCAATAAAAAATTACACGAATTGTCACTTTTAATACATTTGTCGCTAAGTTATACATAAAAAACATTTTTAAAGTTTTTTAATTTGTTTCCATGCTATTTCCATACGAAGCTTCGATTGAATTGCGCACTATCTGAAAGTTAATATTAAGAGCTAAAACTTTTATAGATTATTTTTATCAACTTGGAAGCATTTAAGCGCCTGAGTGCAATAAAATTCGAAAATGTCCATATTAAGGACCACCCTTATATATATATATATATTAATAAAGTCTAGTAATCGTGCATATCAATAAAAAACATGAATTTTTTCAAAAAATTATTTTACATCTATACGTTTCGGCTATAACTCTAGCCGAAATTATATGTATATAATTTCTACATAGTTTCATCATCAGGTTTTTTGTCAAAAACATTTTTTTTAACCAATATTAAGTGGTAAATAAATAATATCTGCTCCTCAGTTTCTAATACTTAAAAAACTCTCTTTTAAAAGAGCTACTTAATCCATTCCTTCATTTTTAACATTCTGTATTCAAGGTCTGTATATACGGAAGAATTAAAATAAAGCAACATATAAAACTATAATCATTACTATAACTATTACATAAAGTACGATAAAAAAAGTTAAAATGAGAGGAAGAATATAGAGGTGTATATTATATATGATTATGAATGTCAGTTTTTTAAAGCAATATATTGTTTTTTAAATATTTTGATCTTGATCCAGACTCAGGGAATTATCTCAAGTGTATATTTTCTACTCCGTGGTGTGTTTTCATCAGTATATGAAGATAGATGTTTTATTTAACAAAGCTCAGATTGTGTGTCAATTGAAATGAAAGGGGAACTTCAAATTAGATAAAGTCTTAAATTTAATAAGTAAATATTAGATGAAGTCTTAAATTTAATTTTATAGATTGCATAATAAATCTTAAGCAAATACAGTTCTCGGACCTAAAAATTGAATGTACAATGTTAATATTAAACGTGGGTTTATGTATTAGATTTCACTCTGGTGAATATCATTGAAAGAATATAAAGATATATTGAAGGATCATGAAATAAACAGCATAATATATATAAAACGGAATAAAATTTATTCGTTGGAAGTAGATGAAATAGTTCAAAGAGAATTGTTTAATTTAAAAAAACGTACGCCTGTAATCACACTGATTTTTCAATCGTCACTGACATTGTGACCATATTTAATTCCTTTAACAACATCAAAAAATGATTCATTTACATTATTATTCATGATTCATGAATTTATAATAATTAAAATAAATGTAGTATTTTTCTTTGCCGTTTCCCTTTTTGTTAATTTTTGATACGTAATCAAATGTGCAGCTTTTGTTTAAATTTTTATATCCTGTTAAGAATACATCCACCACTTACAAAATAAACATGTATTGATCAACCCTAACACAACGGTTTATAGCACTGTCAACTGTGACTAAAAGTAAAAAATATTGAGGAATTTAAAAAAAAATACTAATTTTATTAATTTAAATAAATAATAACTATAATTGGTATTTGTATTTTTTCCCGAAGCAAGTTACATGAACTTGCTCTATAGATGTAAATAATCGACTTAATTAATAAAAAATAAATTAATTTATGAGTGATTAAAAGTATTCCGAGTGGATTTATTACACATATTTCAACTTGGAGTATTTTCTAAAAGCAAATTTTCACTAATCAATAATTTTTATAATTGAACCAGTTTCCGTAGGACTTTAATGGTTTAGTATGTTCAATAAGACCAAGTACTCTATCGTTATACCAAGTAAAACGTCTAATTTTAATTTTAACAAACGTCAAAAAAACTACTCATTTTCTCAAACATTGATGATTTTTTAAAGTTGAACAACTTGCCGTAAGGCCGTAATATTTCAGTAAGTTCTATAAGACTATAATATATATCGCAAAAAAAAGTTCCATAAAAATCGGCTTAAATTTTTTTCAACAGTTAATTACAAGAAAACGGCTTGGTAAATTTTTACCTAGAACTAATCAGTATCATTCCCAACTGATATCTTTCGAACAGTTTTTGATTGTTTAAAATCGATTAGGTAGTATGAGCTTGAATGTGGACGATTTTTTTTCACTTTTCTGTTACTTACAAAGAAACGGCTCGGCAGATCGTTGCACAAAATTAATAAACGCTAGTCCTCATAGAGATACATCGAATGACTTTTAAATTTTGGAAATCGGTTCAGCCGTTTTTGAGAAAACGTCGATTTACGGCAAAAAATCTGTTCACATACTCACACTCACACACGCACACACATACTTTTTCTAAATTTGGTCTCATTCTATTCAGAATGGCTTGAAACGTCGAGGAAACATAAAATTAGTAAATCGAATTTTTTTTATGACTTCTGCTTCGGGAAGTTAATAAACAATGTTAAGTCATCCTAACTAATTTTATTTGTTATATCCTATTCCAGCTTTTTAAATTTTATGAAATTATCATCTTGCTGAAGTTTAAGTTTATGTATATATAAAGAGGGTAGTATGAAAATTTATTATACCGTAACAATTTTACAATAATTTTTCTCTGTTTATTTATTTTTCTGCTTAGTCTCAACGAAGCTTCGATCTCT